CAACACGTAAACTAGTTAATACAGGATTGTGAGACTATCTTCGTTATGCCCCTAGGGGTACCAATAAATCCTCACCGGTAGTATAACCAGAGTCTTCTGGAGGGAGAGCGTGGAATTTGTGAAGAGATGTATTCGGGACCGACAATCCCACACCTGAATTATTGGCTACAGTTAGGCGGGCACCCCTGGGGTGACAAATTTTGTAATCGTACGATGCCTGAAGAACGTCGAGGAGGTCACCGGCCATATTAGTATGGGTATACGACTCAGAATAAGTATAAACTAACCTTTGTTTATGCGAATTTTTTCTTCTATAGTTTTATTTTAATTAAATAAACTACCTACCTACTTACTGGAGGGTGTTCCAGGGACACAACTTTTGGTTTTCTTTTAAGTAATAAAACTACCATACTTACTGGTGATAGCTAGGGTTTTCAAAGAGATCTTATATACTGGTGATAACCAGGGTTTTCAAACAGAACAATACTTTTCATATAGGAATTAACTAACATGTTATAAAATATTGGATTTTCTTGGAAACATGCATACATATTTCAGAACTTGGTAACAACGGTTTTTTTTTTTTTTTTTTTTTTTTTTTTTTTTTTTTTTTTTAATATACAGACGATATTTACTATAATGGAAAGAAACCATTTATACAAACTCAGTGACTACTTTTCAATACACAAAAACATGTTTATGAACTCACCAGCTTTATGTTGATACGTTTTCACAAATGCTTGTATTCTCAGGGTAATGATAGACAGGTACCTTGCTAGCTTTTGGAGAAGACGGAGCATTTTTGGAGTCTCATCTTTATCTTTTGCTATATAGTATTATGTTCAAACTATGTTATCAAAACAGATGTAAATATTCATATTGTAATGTAATGGTTGTGTTTACTTTGATTGCTATGATACGATTGTTGTGATACTACGTATGACGTCGCCGCCCCCGGACGTTTCCGCCGTTGTTTTCCTGATGGTTCGGGGGTGTGACAGATTGGTATCAGAGCTATTGTTTATAGTGAACTAACTATACCGAACCTTACATGGTGTACAACTATAAACACTAAGGGGGCCGAAGTGCTCTGAACTAAAAGTATACTTTAAAAATATAAGTATTTTTACTCCAAGTATACAAGTATACCTACATACCAGAAATCGTACCGTAAAAAGAACCAAACAAAAGTATTTGGATGTTGGACACTGTGGTTAAACCTGGGTAGTTATGCAGTCATGTCTAGGGTTAATATAGCCTGATCAACTATATTTATTCGAGACATGACCAACATGTGCTTGGGAGTGACTGTGGTGTTGCAACAGGCCTAAAACTTACCTAGTTTTCCTACCAAAATAAATTTATAGAAGAAAACCTTCAACATAAAATACTATAGGAGTATTTTAGTCAAAGCAGGATACATTGTAGAAATTCATTCCAAGTGTTGCTACTCATTCTTTCCTAGCAATAGTTTACTTGCTTTAGTAACTCCTTCCTGTTTATCACTTAGTAGAACACTTTATCTATCATATAGAGATACATCCTGTTTCATATCTCATAGTTCTAAAGTCAAATGGAGTTATCATCATCTCTTCCTCATATACAACAAGATGGCTCCAAATAAAAGACCCAAAAAAAAAGAACAACAATTCCTCGATGGATCCAGCGCCCCCACCACCTCCCCAATTCGATCCCACTATGTTCCAAGCAGCTGTTACTGCCGCCGTGACTGCTGCTTTATCACAAATAAACCCTAGTGGTTCTGGGAGTGGTATTCATTCCCAAAATCATAAAGGGGGTCAAGGGCATCAGAAGGAGTGCTACTATTAGGACTTCATGAATGCCAAACCCGCATCTTTCGACGACACCGGAGGTGTTATTGCCTTGACTCGATGGTTCGAGAAGATCGAGTCTATCTTCGAAATATGTTCATGTTCGGAAGCCAACAAGATGAAATTTTCCACCTGCACTTTCACCAACAGAGCATTCACCTGGTGGAATAGTCGGGTCACATCCCTAACCCTACTAGTAGCAAATTCTATGGGTTGGGAGAGCTTGAAAGAGATCATGCTTACTGAGTACTGCCCGTGGGGCAAAATGTAGAAACTGGAGCACGAACTCTGGAACCTAAAGATGAAGGGTTTGGATATT